TTGCCCAGGAATCTTGGAAGTAATCATGGACTGGCCAGAAGCCAAAGATTTTGCAATATCACCAGAAGGGGAGGCGACATGTGCTGAAGAGGCTCCACTGTCCACTACCACATTTACCATCAACATTGCAGGATCCAAGGGTGGTGATCGATCTCTCTCTCCTTCTCTCTCTCCTTTTCTTCTTTTTCCTTTCTTCTTATAAGTATTTCAATTAGAACCCATGTTGTGTACTGTTATGCTTTCCAAGTTCAGGTTGTTTTTTTTCCCATCAGTAAGGTGTTCAATCGATCATTTGGTGTCATTTCACCTTAATTTAACCCAAGGGAATCACAGAACCACCACTATCCTCCCTGGGCAGCCCAGTTTGGATCGTGACACCTATGATACACTTCCTTTCACTTATTTAATTACGCTTGACTGAACATTTCCAATGGCTTTTTGACTCAGTGACTTCACTGTACCTCCAAGTCAGCACTGTGCAAAGTCATGTCCCTTTTCAACACAGCACTGTTCCTCATTTCACCTCTAAGGACTATGGCTATCACCACAGAGCTACTTTTGAGATACTTTATTCATAGCAACACAAAGAGCAGTACAAAAAAACCAACCAGACAGATGAGGTATGCAACCCCTTGTCATAACTGTCCCTCCCTATCCCACCTTTACAAAAGCATTCTGGATACAAAACCTTTGTGGAAACGTTTTGCTGGTCTTGGACCTACAAGTGGATAGATGTCTCACCACAGTGCAGCAGCATGGTTCAGTCCTGTTTGGTCCCAGTCAGTGGCTGGTCAGGATGCTGCTGAGGCTCAACGAGACAGGCTCCAGGTTCAGGTGTGTCCCAAAGGAGAAGCAGTTCCCACCACCGCCGATAAGCAACAACTCCTTCTCATTTGGCAGAAAGACACTACTATGATTATGTAGCATTAATGGCCACTCCAGATGCTCCTAAAAAAGGAAAGGAGATTTTGAACATACAGGACTTCAACACATGTGTACCTCATACAATGCTGTAGAGATATTTCATATGGTACCTTCATTGGAAAGTTAAGAACAGCCACACTGGGTCCCATCTAGGACCATTTAGTCTGCTATACCACCCACAAATGTGGGCAAAAATAGATAGCTAGAGAACACAGGAACAAGAAAACAATGATACGTTCTTCTAATATACTCCACACACTCAACAACTTGCTGTTCAGTGATTTTTAATGAGAAGGAATGTCTTTGTACTCCCTGAACCTTTGTGTTTTTCCTTCCAAGAACATAGCCAGTCACTTTTTGAATCCATGTAAACCTTTGGCATTCATGTCCTGTGGCAGGGAGTTCCAGAGCTTAACTATGTTTCATATGAAGCACTCTTTTGAAGCACATTGCCTGCCAGCTTCTTTTGATATCTCCTAGTTCTTTTATCAGAAGCAGCAATGAACATTCACCACAAAGGAGACAGCCTAAAGTATATAGTTATACATCTGAGGTCCAAGAAACATCTGACAATCTGAAGAGAAGCTCCTTCATGCTGACCTCCAATATTTGAAACCTCAGAGTCTGCCACTGAAAGCCATATTCAAAGTTGGAGACACACTTGTTGCAGGTAACAGACTGTAGCAGTAACAAAACTGCTGTGTTGGCAATTCAGCTATTGTTGGGGCCACTGGAATCTGAAGAGGACAAGTTGTAGAGGCTTCCCTTGTAAAATGCTCAAGACAGAAGGCAACTTTTATGAGGGTACCCTTGTCTATATTCTTGGAGAAAGGTTAAGGGTTAGTGATTGAGAGAGATATATCTGCCCATGGTAACTGTTCCACGGCTTTTTCAAGCACAGAGAAAGCTGCCAGCTGGTGGCTTTGGTGCTGTCACCTTCTAACGCATGTATCAAAGCAGTAATACTAATAGTATCCAGTACTGCACAGAAAATCACTGACAATTCCAGACTAATCCACATTGTACAGTACTATCAGTACTTTAGGACAGTACTGGTAGGTTCAAAAGCCTACGGAGTTTCACCTAACTCAAAGCAAACAGCTCATAAGCAAAGGCAGCTACCAATCAATTTGCATCCACTTATTCAATGTAAATAAAAAAGTCCTATTCTTTTAGATACAACTTTATTATCACTGTACCCATCCTCACCACTATCCAACAAGAGTAGCCTGTTTTATCTAAAGGATACTAGGCCACTTATAATTCCTGCTACAGTGAGTAAGGAAAAACTAAACTACATTTAAGCATACTTCATGCTTTATGCCCTCAGGAAAATGCTGCAAGGTCAGCCAGGTGCACACATACTGCCTATTATAAAAAACAGACCAGTCACAAATTCCAGTTTCACCAAGGACAGGATCCATATGTACAGATATCTAAAGAAATTTGTTTACATACAAATTTCTTTACATAAAAGACAAATAAAAATTTGCCAAGCAATAGAAGCTTTCTCATAGAATTACAGAATGGTTTGGGTTGGAAGGGACCTTTAAAGGTCCCTGCAGTGAGCAGAGACACCTTCAACTAGATCAGGTTGCTAAGAGCCCCATCCAACCTGACCTTGAATGTGTCCAGGGATGGGGCACCTACCACCTCTCTGGGCAACCTGTTCCAGTGCTTCACCACCCTCATTGTAAAAAATGTCTTCCTTATATCTAGTCTGAATCTACTCTCCTTTAGTTTAAAACCATTACCCCTTGTCCTATCTACAGGCCCTAACCTATCACTACAGGTCTGTCCTCATCTGTTTTATAAGCCCCCTTTAAGTACTGAAAGGCTGCAGTAGGGTGTCCCCAGAGCCTTCTTTTCTCCAGGCTAAACAACCCCAACTCTGTTTCAGCCTGTCCTCATAGGAGAGGTGTTCCAAGCCTCTGACCATTTCTGTGGCCCTCCTCTGGACCCGCTCCAACAGGTCCACGTCTTTCTTGTACTCCAGGCAGTATTATCACAGATGAGGGCTACTCACAGATTTAAACTAAGTTTTGCCCAGACTATGCCAAAATCCTGCTACGTGACATCACCTGTATGATTGCTCTTCACGGAATCACAGAACAGAATCACAGAACAGTTGAGGTTGGAAGGTACCTCTGAGTATCATCTAGTCCAACCACACCTGTTCACAGCAGGCTCAACTACAGCAGGTTGCTCAGTACCTTGCCCAGTCAGGTTTTGAATATCTCCAATGATGGAGACACCACAGCCTCTCTGAGCAACCTGTTCAGTGTTCAACTACCCTTACAGTAAAAAGTTTTCTTATGTTTAAGTGGAGTTTCCAGTATTTCCATGCTGTTTTATTCTTGTACTTCAGGCAGCAGCTATAGCACACAGCAATTTCCACCATGAAGTTTTTACTTAAATGATACCACAGACCTCCATAAGGAGTAACTGAGGCTCTGGTTTGATCTGATCTCTTCTTCCATAGACATCCTGAAATTACTGTGTTTGTGCACATCTCAGTTCTGCTTCCCCTGTCTGGAATGGAGCGGCTCCATGCCTTCCAGTCTTCTGCACACTATTATGTTCTCTAGGCTGGTAAAAGCACTTCAAAATTAGATTCTACCTCAAACAGGGAATGTTTATTCTACTCACAAATTTGCCTAATTTACATTCCCTACTTCATTTCAGGGAATAGCCCTAAAGTAACCATGTTCCTTCACACGACACTGTTCACCCTGAAAGAAAATTTTCAGTATTTACCACATTAATTGCATAGTCCAAGCAGAGACCAGTCATTAAGTCAATGACAGTGATGCCTGGCACAGAGGACGAGTGAAACCACACTCCACCAACAAGCAGAAGTTTTCCATCATGCACATGTGCAGTATGTGAATACCTGCAAGTTCAAAATGAGATTGAACGCCATTAGTAAGAGAGGTAGGTACAGACAGACCAAAGATTCACTGCTGAATGCCTTCTACTTACCTTGGGACGAGAGAAGGGTATGTCTCTACTGTCTGCCACTGAAAGCTTTGTTCAAGCTCCCTCAGAAAGAAAACTGAGCCTAAGGGCTGCTCAGCTGCTCCCAGACCTCCTGCAATGAGCACTCCTCCTTTCCAGCTGCAGGCGCTGTGAGAGTGACGGCTTTCTGGTACTGGACCCTCAACAGGAATCTAGGAAAACATAAGTCCAAGGCTGAAGTTTGCCAAGCTAAGTGTCTTCTTCACATCCAGGCTCTTAAATGATCTCCTGTTGCATGTCCTGTGGGATGTAACGGTCTTTCCTGCCACAGGATTGCGACAGTTGCTGGAGGTGAACAGAGTAAGCGTGATAGGGAACAATAAAAAAACCTCAACCGACACATGTTCCTGTAGGGATGGCTAAGTAGAAATGTTTCCATTTACACGACCTCCAATATTTCTCTGGCCCTCAGTGTATTTAGTATTGTCCAGTCTTTAGAGGGGTTTATTTCTGCACATTTATTAGAGGTAACTTTATTTGCATTCTTGCATGCTGCTTTCCGTTCAATACATGCACCTGAGAACCACAAGTTTACAAACATGTGGACTAATGCTGTGACCAGCAGAGCAGGTCACCAGTGGCTCATACAGAGCAAGATAAAATGCTGAACTGCAGCACTAATATGCAGAAAGAAAACCTTTAGTGCAAGCACTAAAGATGGTTATTTAAGTTTCTGAAAGTCTGCAGTGACACAGATTTCTCACCTCTTTAGGCAGTCTATCGCAGCACTTTACTATCTCCACAATTAATAGTTTTTCTTAGTGTACAACTGAAGTTGCCCTTTTTATAGATTCCTTGTACTACCTAAAGTAAATATTGAGAAAAATTTGTTTGTCCTCTCTGCAGCTATATTTTACATATTTGAAGATTTATTTCCATCTTGAATCTTCTCCAGACTCAACAGCTACAAGTCCTTCAAAATCTTCCCCTGTAAGGTATGTTGTCTGGTCATTCTCGTTGCATGCATCTATAGAGTTGTATTGCATCCTGCCCACCTCTTTTTCTCTGGAATCAGCTTTGGGTATTTTACAAGGGTTCTGCTGAGATTAAGAGCACTGAAGAGAACAGAAGGACCAGTTCATGTGTCTTACAGAAAATATTCCTGGTTACATACCTGAACACACAGTTTGGACCTTCCAAAACAGCATGATACTGTTTACTCATGTTTAGCTTGTGATCTCCTGTAATTATGGATCTCTCACCCTATAATTGTGCTATGCACTATTTTTAAAACTCAGTCTATCTTTAATAAACTGCAATTTGTTTTTCCACAAGTATTTCTTCCATGTCAAAGTAATTTTGGATTTTCATCTTGTCCACTAATGTAGTATTGAGCCTACATGTTAACTGCCTATATAATATAAATACTCTTTGCTTCATCATTCTTGTCATTAAGAATTGGACCCCAGGACTGATCCTGTGTGACACCACCATTTCCACACAACGTGATTTCTAAATATTCTCAAAGTCTGATTTCCAAATAATTTTGCACTACTCTGCAATACTCACGTTTAAATCATGTTTTCTTAGTACGTTATGAAAGTGTCACACAAGATGTGTCAAAGTCCTACTAAAGTCATGATACATACCCTTTCTTCAGGACAAAATCTACTGCCATGCCATAGAAAAATAAACAATGTTAAACAAATTACTTCTTGAACTCTTGTTGGTGGTCACTTACCTCCCAATTATCTTCCAGATATTTACAGTCTGTCACTATCAGTTTCTGTATTTCTGAGGACCTGAGATGAAGTTGATTTGGCTTCCATACAAGAAGTTCAAAGCATATGTGGAGGGTGACAGCATCTGTTTCACTAAGCTTATTGAATCGCAGTCACTTTTAATGCAAATGGAATAATAAGTAAAGGGGGAACTGATAAACAAAAACACACAGAGACACAAACCTGACAGACATGGGATAATGCAGAAATAGATCGAAAGTCTCCAATCACTCATCCATGGGCCATTAAGAAACTCCAGGCATAGCTTTGGAGAGGGCCAACCTGGACTTTGCAACTGGTAAGAGGGGGAAGTGAGGAACAAGAGGATTCAGAAGACTCAAAGGAGGGCCTGTGAGACTAAATAAAACTTATTAAGGAATGTTTAAAGGGGAACAAAGAGGGGGAACAAACAGAAAAGGGTATAAAAGGAGTCCGTTGCATGTGAACAGTCACTGGTCAGTACACTTGTCTGACTGAGCACTGCACCCAATCAATCTATCTTACTGATTAAATCCTTTCTTAACTATCTCTGTGTGTAATATCACTCTCTAACCCATGCGAGTGATGCAATGACTAGGTGCCTGCAACCGCAGAGGCAAACACTAGTGAATATGGAGCCAGCAACTGGAGTCAGAGCAGGGGAGGGAAAGCATTCCTGGGCCTTTTGTGCCAACAACTGGAGCAAGTGAGGGTGTCAGCATCAGGAGCTGGAGGGGCCACAGATCTTGGCAGCATCTTCCTGGCTCTCACAGACTTAGTGTCCAGAGTGCCAGCTACTGGGGGGGCCATGTGAGTGAATCTGGGACCATGAACTGGAGTCAGACTGGGGATGTAAGCACCCCTGGGCCTGTGGCACAAGTAGAAGTCTCAGTGCCAGACAACTGGGACAAGATCACCACAGGTCACAGGACCTGTGCAAGTCCCAGATGCAACTACTTGGGTGACTGGGGCAACTGAATCAAGTGAGAATCTCAGCACCAGAAGCTGGAGTAGGACCATGGGTCAACAGCACCCACGTGCTGGAGGGGAGAACCAGTGCATTTGTATTTTTGCTGAACCTTGTGTGTATGTGAGTGTGCATCTCCAAGTCTTGCTCTGGAGACCTTTCACCATCTTTGTTGCCCTCAAGAAGAGAATCATAGGATCACAGAATCAGACAATATCTTGAGTTGGAAGGGACCCATAAGGATCATTGAGTCCAGCTCCCTGCTCCTCACAGGACTACATAAAACTAAACCACATGACTAACAGCGTTGTCCAGATGCTCCTTGAACTCTGACAGGCTTGGTGCCATGACCACTTCCCTGGGGAGCATGTTCCAGGGACCGACCACCTTCTCAGTGAAGAGCCTTTTCGTAATGTGCAATCTCAACTCCCCCGACACAGTTTCATTCCATTTCCTTGTGTCCCATCACTGGTCACCAAAGAGAGATCAGCACCGCCCCATCTGCTGCCCACCTTGAGGAAGTTGTAGACTGCAATGAGGTCACCCCTGAGCCTTCTCTTCTCCAAGCTGAACAAACCAAGTGAACTCAGCTACCCCTCGTAAGTCTTGCCCTCAAGACCGTTCACCATCTTGGTCACCCTCCTCTGGACACACTCTAATAGTTTGATGTCCTTCTTATATTGAGGCACCCAAAACTGCACACAGTACTCGAGGTGGGGCCGCACCAGTGCAGCACAGAGTGGGACAATCACCTCTCTCGACTGACTAGCTCTGCTGTGCTTGCACCCCAGGACACGGTTGGCCCTTTTGGCTGCCAGGGCACACTGTTGACTCATGTTAAACTTGCCATCACCCCAAATCCCCAGATCTCTTTCCGCAGGGCTGCTCTCCAGCCTCTCATCCCCCAATTTCTGTGTATAACCAGGATTACTCCATCCTAGGTACAGAACCCAGCACTTGCTCTTGTTAAATTTCATACGGTTGGCGATTGTCCAGCTCTCTAGTCTATCTACATGTCTCTGTAAGGTCTCTCTACCCTCGAGGGAGTCCACAGCTCCTCCTAATTTAGGATCATCAGCAAACTTACTTAATGTACGTTTGACTCCTGCATCTAGATAATTTATAAAAACATTAAAGAGCACTGGCCCTATAATTGAGCCCTGTGGAACCCCACTGGTGATGCTGCCAGCCTGATGTAACCCTCATAACTCTTTGAGCCTGACCTGTCAGCCAATTGTTCACCCATCATATTATGGACTTGTCTAGCTGCATGCTGGACATTTTGTCCAGAAGGATACTGTGACAGACAGTATCAAAAGCCTTGCTAAAATCCACAAGAAAACCCACATTTACTGGCTTCCCTTGGTCAACTAGATGGGTGACCTTGTCATAAAAGGAAATTAAGTTAAACAGGACTTTCCCCTCGTGAACCCATGTTGGCTATGACCAATGACTGCATTGTCTCTGAAGTGTTTTTCAGTAACTCCCAGGATAATCTTCTCCATAATTTCACCAGGCATTGAAGTGAGACTGACAGGCCGGTAACTACCAGGGTCTTCCTTCTCATCCTTCTTGAAAATTGGGACATTTGCCAGCTTCCAGTCAACTGGGACCTCTCTAGACTGTGAAGACCATTGAAAAATAATGGAAAGAGGTCCTGCAATAACATCAGCCAGCTTTTCCAGTACCCTGATATGAATTCCATCGGGCTCCACAGATTTATGTGCATCCAGCTGGAGCAGCAAGTCTCAAACAAGTTCAGTTAGCTGGGAGTTTATCATTCCCTCAGTCACCATCTTCCAACAGGGGGTTCCAGGTGTCCCAGAGCCCACCATCGGTGTTAGAGACAGAGGCAAAGAAGGCATTAAAGTCTCCACTTTTTCTATGTCCCTGTCTGTGAGGTGACTGACCTCATCAAGTAACAGACCAATGTTAATCTCTGATCCTCCTTTTGCTGTTAACATATTTTAAAAAGCCCTTTTTTGTGATCCTTCACAGTACTGGCCAGCTTGAACTCTAATCAAGCTTTGACCACATGAATTTTCTTCCTACAGTGGCAAACAGCATCCCTGTAGTCCTCCTGTGTCACCTGTCCTTGCTTCCAATGTCCATACACTTTCCTTTTCCGACTAAGTTCTATAAGATCCCTGCTCAGCCAAGCCAGCCTTCTGCCCCACTTGCTTGACTTCTGGCACTTTGGAATTGCCTGCTCCTGTGCTCTTAAGAGATGGCTCTTAAAAAGTGACCAGTATTCATGGACCTCAATGCCTTCAAAAGCAGATTCCCAAGGGACTTTACTAACTAGTTCCTTCAGCAGCCCAAAGGCCCTATATCCAGGGTCGAAGTTTTGCTGACAGTTCTTCTCCTGTCACCAACAATTTGAAACTCAACTACTTCATGGTCACTGTCACCAAGACAGCCACCAATCACCACTTTGCCCACAAGTCCTTTGCAGTTTACAAAGTACAAATCTAGGAGGGCACCTTTCCTAGTTGGCTCCTTTAGTACCTGCACCAAGAAGTTATCTTCAACGTGCTTCAGGAATTTCCTGCACCTGTTTGTGTCTGCTGTATGATGTTACCAGTTAACATCTGGGAAGTTAAAATCACCCATAAGGACAAGGGCAGCTGATCTAGACATACGCCTTAATTCCTTATAGAGTAATTCATCAGTGTCATTGTCCTGGCTGGGTGGTCAGCAGTAGACTCCCACAACAACATCCGCTTTACTTGCTTTCCCCTTAATCCTTACCCAGAGATTCTCAACCGTGTCGTTGCCAACTGCAAGCGCCATACAATCCAACCCCTCCCTTATACAGAGCACCACCACCCCCTGCCTCACCTGCCCTGCCTATCCCTCCCGAAGAGCCTACAACCGTCCATCACTGCACACCGGTCACAGGACTCATCCCACCAGGTTTCTCTTATGCCAATGATGTTGTAGCTCTGGGACTCGGCCAAAGCTTCTAGCTCCTCATTTATTCCTCATTCTGCGCACATTAGTACAGACACATTTTTAATGTGCTCCAGTGTACTCGGCACGTCATGGCACAGACTGAAGGACCTCACTAGCACACTGTCCCTCAAACACTGGTGTGCCGTACTGTGACTCGTAACTAGCAAGCCTGGTTTTATCCCTTTCCCCCTTCAAATCTAGTTTAAAGCTCTTTCAATAAGCTCTGCTAACTTCTGTGCAAAGACCTTTTTCTCCTGTTCAGAAAGGTGCACCCCATCTGTCAACAGCAGGCCTGGTGTCATGTAGACTGACCCGTGATCAAAAAACCCAAAATTCTGCCAGTGACACCAGTCACGGAGCCAGGTGCTGATCAGCTGGGTCTTCCCGTTTCTTCCAACATCATTCCCTGTAACTGGAAGGATAGAGAAAAATACTACTTGTGCTCCTGAACCCTTAACCAGTTGTCCCAAGGCCCTGAAGTCTCTTTTGATCGCCCCTGGATTTCTTATTGCAACTTCATTGCTGCCTACATGAAAAAGCAATAATGGATAATAATTCAAGGGCCATACCAGCGCAGGAAGTTTTCTTGTAAATCTTTGACCCAGGCCCCATGGAGGCAGCAGCCTTCCCTAAGAAGTGGGTCTGGTCAGCATACTGGGCCTTCTGTTCCCCTCAGAAGAGAACCTCCTATGACAATGACCCATCTTTTTTTTTAATGGAAGTGGTTTTGACACAGGGCATAGGCCGACTTAACCTTGGCGACATGTCCAACCTAGACGGACCATCATCCTCATTGTTGTTCGGTTCCGCTTCCAGAGCTTCATACCTATTATGCAAGGGCACCTGGAAAGGTGAGGTGGTCACGGAGAAGATGCGCCTGCTGCGCTGCACAGGAACTTGTCACCATTCTCCTCTATCCCTTAAGTCACTGCATTCTGCTGGGCAGAGAGAGGCTAGGGAATCCTCCGTGTCATGTCTCCGGTCTGCCTGGCAGTTCTGTCCCAGGGAAGGTAGGGTGTGGTTCCAGTAGACAATCTCCCTCTCAGACTCCCTGATACTCCTCAACCTACTCACCTCCTCCCGGAGCTCTGCCACTAAACTGAGGAGTTCCTCTACCTGGGCGCACCTCTCACAGGTGTGCTCACTACTGCCGTCTCATACTGCTATAGGAGTAGGGCACATCTTGCAGCCTGACACCCGGGTAGCAGCATGTTCCCATCGGAGCTCTGCCTGGGAAGCTGCATTAGTTGTGGACGTAGCGTTCTGCTGGGTAGACACCATTGCTCCCTGCTTGAGCCAGCAAAGTTATAGCGCCTTGCCACACAAACTGCCGCACCACGCCCTGTTTGCCTGCCCTAGTCACAAGTGCTACCTAGGGGTTTCTCTCATAGGTGTGGGGGGCTTGGCCGCAGTCACTCCTGGCCCCGTCTCTGCGCTCCCTTGAAGTTTCCCCAGCTCAGGAGACGCCCCTGCACGCCATGCTAGAGCGTCTGCTACGGATCGCGCCAGCACCAGAGCTGCTTGCCTCAGTGACTGAGAATGCTCACAGAGAAATCTCCTCAACGTGTATAAATGCCTAATGGGAGAGATGAAAGACGACAGAGACAGAATGTTCTCAGTAGTATCCAGCAACAGGGCAAGAGGCAATGGGCACAAACTGAAATTAAAAAAAATCCACTTAAACATAAAAACCCCTCACATTTTACTATGAGGGTGGTCAAGCACTGGAATAGGTTGCCCAAAGAGGTTGTGGAGTCTCCATCTTTGGAGATAACCAAACCCAACTGGACAATATTCTGAGCAACCTGTTCTAGTTAGACCTGCTTTAAGCAAGGGTGCTGGACTAGATGATCTCCCGATGTCCCTTCCAACCTCAACTATTCTGTGAAGACTGTATTCCACTAAATAGCAAGGTGATTAGAAGTTAGCTCTAACTCTAATCACCGTGAAGTGTGACAGTACTGCCAGTGCCATCCGCTTCACTATGGTTAATACCACTGTGATTTAGTTGGGCTTCCAATACAGCAGCATGTACCTATGAAGTGAAGGCAATTTCTGCTCCCCAGGGCCCCACTAAGTTCTTACCACAGTGCAGGAAAGTTCTTGAGTGTGCAGGAAATACCAATCCCCTAGCACAGGCTCCATAGCAGAGCGGCCACCATACAGAAACAGGTACTTCTCGCCTATGGAAAAAGACAACCAGGTGAAAAGAGAAGTTAGAATTTGGTATGTCACAAAAGCAAAAATTTCTGTTGCATAGAAGGGAAGCTGACCAAAGATAGAAATTAATGCAGTCAGGTAGAAGTTTTATACACTATTTCTATTAAGAAATCCTGCAACCTGATGAACATTTCCAGACACGCAAGAAATTGTTTCATAGATACAGGAATTACTGTTGTATCTAGATCTTTTATAAAACACATGGAAGACTAAATACTTTTACTAAGAAGCTGTATTCTTCATGTTTGTGGTCATTCAGAAGACCTCCATCATCCACTTATATTATGTGGTTTCTGAATGTTTTAAGTCTGAATGGAAATCACACACTATAGTCTCAAAAGCAAAAGGAGAAAATATGTTTTTTAATATAACTAATGGACTTAAGGAATGAAAATTTAGGCAGTGCAAAGATTACACCTGTAGAACTAATAAAACTAGAAAACCCTAAGTACATAAATCATAGCAACACAACGACATCTATTTATCCCAAGAAAACAGATAAATCCTCATAAGCCAACAAGAATGCGTATTTGTTCATGCAAAAGGGAGACAATAATAATGTAAGTGTGCAGGAGTTAATCTGGAGAAGCCTCAAAAAGGAGGTACAAAAGGTGCAAAAGTATTTTGGGTAGATGTCAAGGATGTGCGTTAACTGCACTATGCCCTGTCAGCTCATTTCTTCATAACGGACTGTACAAATAACACAAGTGTTGGTCACTTATTTCAGCTACAAAGCAAAATCAAGGCAAAAATAAGATGATACAACACAGTCTGACAAAGACAAAACCCAATGTATTATTTATAAAACTTTATTTACCCATTTAGCATTTGCTGCTTTGATATAAAATTTAGACTGGAAGGCTGAACTCTAAACTACATTATGGTGTTAAACACTGCTCCACAAATTCAAAGTATGCTCCAGACTACACTAACAACTGCTTCACAATTCCCCTGGTGTTCCCTTACAATAGCTCCCTGCCAGCTACTGGAGAATGAAACAGCTTTCGAAAGGACAGCTCACCTCCTTAATTCCAGTAAGGCCCACCACTGACTTGCTAACAACTGCTGAAGTTTCTGCTCCTTACAGTCAGTATCTTGTACTAGACAAACCTTCAGTGTGCCACTGCAGGGCTTGATTCTAGACCTATTCGGAACTACTGAATATTTGTCAATTGCTACCAGAAGAGTAACATTTCTTCCAGATAAAGAGTTAGGGATCCTGCTCCATAATGCTCCAGAATTAAAATATTACCCTTCAGAGAGGAAGTTCTGAAACTTCATTCTGGTGTGACCAAGCATGAATAACTTCAGCCATAAATGATCTCAAAGAATTAGTCTTCCAGAACAGATTATGTACCCAGGTTTCAATTCTACTTAGCACTGGGGATTACGTGGTATACAAAATTGTAAATTATCATATTTCAAGTGACAAGAAGAGATCTCAAAGCCTCTTAATTTCTTTCCTACTCACAGGCTTGAGAGGTAGGCCAATATGAACCTCATGAAGTTCAACAAGGCCAGGTGCAAGGTCCTGCACCTGGGTCGGGGCAACCCCCAGTATCAATACAGACTGGAGGAGGAATCGATCAAGCGCAGCCCTGCCGAGAAGGGCTTGGGGATACTGGTGGATGAAAAATTGGACGTGAGCCAGCAATGTGCACTTGCAGCCCAGAAAACCAATTGTATCCTGGGCTGCATAAAAAGAAGTGTGGCCAGCAGGTCGAAGGAGTTGAGACCCCACCTGGAGCACTGCGTCCAGCTCTGGGGTCCCCAGCACAAGACAGACATGGACGTGTTAGAGTGGGTCCAGAGGAGGGCCACAAAAATTATCAGGGCTGGAACACCTCTCCTATGAAGAAAAGCTGAGAGAGTTGGAATCATTCAGCCTGGAGAAGAGAAGGCTCCAAGGACACCTTACTGCGGCCTTTCAATACTTAGAGGGGGCTTATAAGAAAGACTGAGAGAGACTTTTTACCAGGGCCTGTAGTGACAGGACAAGAGGTAATGGTTTTAAACTAAAAGAGGGTAGATTTAGATCGGACATAAGGAAGAAATTCGTTACTATAAGGGTAGTGAGACACTGGAGCAGGCTGCCCCAAAAAATTGTGGCTTTCCCCACCCCGGAAGAGGTCAAAGTCAGGCTGGGTGGGAGCAACGTGATCTAGTGAAAGATGTCCCTGCCCATGGCGGGGGAGTTGGACTAGATGATCTTCAAAGCTCCCTTCCAACCCAAACCATTCTACACAATGGCAGAACGGTACTCTTCATTCTGGTTCTCGTTCCTTTACCAGTAATTCTTAACGCTAAGAATTCTTAACATTTGCTTTGCTTTTCTTTTAAGCATCTGTTGATCATTACAAAGCCTCACTCACTAGCAGTGCTAGGTTACATGCCAGAAAGCTCACCTGCATACCCACAGAGGAGCACAGAGGCAAAACAAAGTGGGGGAGCCCAAATAATACCCTGCCCCAGCTACTTCCAGACCCATCCCAGGAGAGCAATCGAGCCATAAAAGGCTCATTTCCTCATGCACAAGAGGAGCACAGAGAGGCAGTGGCAGGTGTGCAGGCAAGAGAACCCCAATTACATGCTTACAGAAACAGACAATCTGTCCCAGCTCCTCCCAGGGCTGTCCCAGGAGAACTGTCAGCCCCGTTGTCCAGCTGTGAAACCCATCAAAATGAGTGAACGGGAGCAACTCTGGAGCACCTTTGAGGCAGTACTGTCTAGGGGTATGGGACACGTTATAAGATGCAAGGGAAGAGCATTTAGGGTTTGCGTAAGACTTATTATGGGAGTATAGGAACCAGAGGCAGGAAAAGGGATGGACTTAGGTGATTTGGGGAGGTACAAACACAGGAAGCCAGAGGAATAAAAGGATAAAAAGGACTAGCCATATGTAAACAGATTGCTGGTCAGTATGCCTGTCTGGCCACATCCTGCACCTTAACAGTAACAGCTGAAAATTAGTCTTTTCATTTGTGGGTAGGTGTGTTTGTGAGAGGGGAGCCAACCAAATTGCAGTTGCACATATATATTGTAGCACTTTCAAAAATGCGTTATGAGCTTTTAGCTTTTTTTGGCACTATACAATCATATATATTTTTTGATTCCTGCCCTGCATCTAGAAAACTAACAAGATTGCAGCTCATCTATAATAAAAGTCACTATCACAAGGTATTTGTTGCATAGGTTCTGTAACAAATCAACCATGTATTAATGGCATAGACAATTGAAATCCTGCTCAATTGTTGCATCAACCAATTCAGTTGATCAGTTCAGGAAACTCAGCTGAGACTGCTCAGTCTTTCCCTTTTGTCAGATTTAGTAAAGCCTCTCACAAATACTTTTGGACTTGACAAACAAAAAGACACAAGAACTGGGTAGATACAGTAAGAAAAATGTATTCAAATGGAGTTTAAGCCTTGAGTCTCCAAGCCCAGGAAAAAAAATCACCACTGGAACAAAATCTTTATGAAATGTAATTGGATTCTCTACAGTGATGATGAATCTATCAAGATCATACTCTTTCCAAAATGGTCAGCAAAAAGCTGTTGTTTCAGACAAAGGAATACAATGCACCAACATTAACTGTATAGCCTGTACGACATAAAAAGTAAGGCTGTATCATGACAATTTGTCTTTCAGACCTCACTGTCTGGACAGGACTGCCCCATATATTCTAGAATTTGTATACCTCCACATACCTACAGCCATTTGCACTC